AACTTCATTCGAATTTAGATCGACCAACACGTTCTATCCGTCTTCTTCAGACGGACGAACTCAGTTGAGTCAAACGTCGAACTTATCATGGACTTAATTCGCTTGGTTTAGTTCGTCTCATGTGAAGGTCGACGTTTGACCTGGGCCTAACGCTGGGAAACTTGCATTGTCTGGGTAATAACTGTGTTTTGGTGTAGGCATTCATTTTTTTATTGTCTTTTGAATATGTTGTTAACAATACTGACAAATGTAACACCAAGAAACTCCCACTAATTTAGTCAGAAGCAACAATTGTCATACTTTACTATATTTAATCATGCGCAAAAGCTATGTATATTGGTTATGATATTTCCTGAGCCGCGAGAAATTATGTCAATACATTCAAACTGGGTAAAACCAGAGCAACTGCAATCTTGTCTTATGTTTTATCGTTAAACTTAAAATATACATTTTATAACTTATAACTAGACTACAAAAAGATGCATAAAGCATTTCATGTCTTATCGATGTTTAAACAATTTACACTTTGTATGCATTAACTGTCTATTCGATTCATTTTGTACTGACGTTTATTAATTTTATTCCTCAATTAAACTATTTTAAAGAAAGACATCATTTATGACTTATTTCAATAATGCTGTACCTCGACATCATAGAAGGCGGTTTCTCGAGGCAAAGGGAACTGAAAACGCTTCAAACGAAACTATGGATCAATTCTNATAACTGTGTTTTGGTGTAGGCATTCATTTGTTTATTGTCTTTTGAATACGTTGTTAACAATACTGACAAATGTAACACCAAGAAACTCCCACTAATTTAGTCAGAAGCAACAATTGTTATACTTTACTATATTTAATCATACGCAAAAGCTATGTATATTGGTTATGATATTTCCTGAGGTGCAAGAAATTATGTCAATACATTCAAACTGGGTAAAACCAGAGCAACTGCAATCTTGTCCTATGTTTTATCGTTAAACTTAAAATATACATTTTATAACTTATAACCAGACTACAAAAAGATGCACAAAGCATTTCATGTCTTATCGATGTTTAAACAATTTACACTTTGTATGCATTAACTGTCTATTCGATTCATTTTGTACTGACGTTTATTAATTTTATTCCTCAATTAAACTATTTTAAAGAAAGACATCATTTATGACTTATTTCAATAATGCTGTACCTCTCGATGCGGTACCCATGCTGAGAGGATTTCTCAAAATAATTCTTCAGAAAATCCTAAAAGGCAATCGTGTGATGATATGCAATGCATCATCGACCGGGTTTGCACACCAATCAAGCTCAAGCACTCTCGACCACATTTTGTAAATGGCTTTAATAAGAAATAAAGAAACGACCACGACACCTTAATCAGAAATTGGCTTCCACCTTTCGACCGTTCAGCGGCGTGGTTGGTCGAAAGTTGTCACATTCAGATCCTTTTGCAGACGTGAGTTTCGTAAAAGCCAAAAGCTGTCAACAAAGATAATAAAAGATAGACATTAGTTACCTTCACCTGTACAATCTGACTTATCAATCCGAACTAACTGACCAATAGACTGACTGACTGACTGACTGACTAGTCACTAACTGACCGACCGACTGTCTGAGTAGGACTGACCAGCGAAATGACTCGCAAACTGACTGACTCAAGAAACATTTCAAGATCTAGAGACAACAACTGAAACCATTATTTCCATTTGTTTGAAAGGCGGAGAACAAGAAAACAAAATATAACTTCAAGGAAATAAGTACTGTTGATTACTCAAGGAAATAAGTGCTGTTAATTACTCAAGGAAATAAGTACTGTTAATTAATCAAGGAAACAAGTACTGTGATTGTTCGGGCACTTTTCTTATTCTTCACTCCTCGATGACAGAGTGAATCAACCCTGCTGCTTCTGTTCCATGACAGTTTACAAGAAATTCGAAAACCCAAGCAAACAGATAAATGACAAATTTAATACCAAAATTCAAAACGCAGGAAAAGTCAGTGTCTGAATTACCTGATCCTTTGTAACTGTTACTTGATTCTTCATGACAATCCATTGCACAGTTTCATAACAGGGAGGGGTAGTTTGGGAGCCTTTGTAAGTGTAGAATGGAGCATGCTCTTCAGCAAGGTCCGGAACAAGGTCAGCCAAGGTCAAATTGTCAGCTGGGGTATAGACAGGAATGCTGGATCCTTCAATACAATTGATAGGAAGTAGACATTGATGTGAATCAGAAGAGGTACAGAAGTAAGTTGATTTAGGACATTTTAGCCTTAGTTATTAAGCGCGGAAATGTGTGCAACTTTTTTTTACATCTTGTAAGCACATAATACCATTAATAACAAGGTTTATTATATGGCTGTGTCTCACAAGGACTGGGAACTACCAAATTCACGAATTTGATTGGCTGAAATCGATATTGACCGCGGTCTAGATTTTCCCATC